TTACAAAATCCAAAGGGTATGTGCACCGAGTCTATATATTGATTTCCAAAACAATCTTTTTTTCCCTTTTAATATAATATTTGTTAGCTGAAGTTATACTTCTTGAGTAATAAAAAAATTATATGGTGGAAGAGAAAAGTAAAAAAAATTATTAGTTATAGATTTTTAATTATTTCAGTTTTATTACTATTTTAGTATGTTTCAACTTATTATTATTTATAAATTACTTTTTATATTGTAATTTAGACCTTTATTATAGTAATTTATCATTACAAGTTTGACCACCAATCGACTATTAACCCTTAAATATAGTGCCTCAACTGGGTCAATCAATAGTCCAGTTTTTCAATGGCTATGACTCTGAGTGATGACAACATCCAAGACATCTATTTCATAAAGTAGTAGGCTGCATAAGGAAGAATGCATTAGCAAAAAACTAAGGGTGCATCACAGAGAGATAACTGGGAAATAGAGAGGCCAAACATTATTGGAAGTTATATTAACTGGGGAAAAAACGTGTATGGTAAAGGAACAGAAAGATGCATAAAAGGATGTGAACCACCTTTTCTACAGTATATAGGCACTATAATTATTCTACATGTGTCATGAGAATACACGGGTGAAAAATCAGTTGAATTTAGAAAAAAAAATTAAGAAAAAGGCTTTTACCTGAACGTCCCAGACAGGGTAATTGTGGCCCTTGTAGCAAACAAGGTTTGCATTAAGCTTTGTGTTCCATAATCTAACTGCATACATGTATGAATTAAGTCCGAAGTTGAAAAGTTCGAAGAAACAAAGTGACGATAATAAGATAAATACCAAAAGCAAAGAACAGTCAGTATAAACATACCAGTCGAGTCTGCTGAAGAGGAAAGAATAAAATCCCCAACAGGGCTAAAACTGGCTGCATAAACTGGCCCTGAATGACCTTGAAATAATGTATACTGTCTTCTCCCACCACTTTGCCCAAGTACTTGTTCATTTTGAGATGTGTCATTCTCACCCTGGAAAGAGCTGACCACAAAGGATTAATTAGTGGACTATTACATCAAGTAAAACAACTTAATATGAGCACGTTGTATTGCTCCAGACACACAAAATGTTCCCTCCATTTTTTTTTTTTTCAACCAAGCTTACTTTGTCAAATAGCAACTTAATTTTGGTTTTCATTAACTCAACTGTCATTTTGGTTTGGTTGAGATGCCCTGACACTTTCAGCAGTAGAATAAATATTTGAGCTCAAGAAGTGCGAATTATATGGGAATAAGAACATTGATAAAGACCATCGTTCAATTGAAGGACCAATTATTACAAATATAAAACTAGTATATGACTTTTCAAATGATGGAAATACAGTGCCCACAATGCCACAGGTCATATGAATCAGCAACCCCACATCCCACCAAAAAAAAAAAAAAAGAAAGAAAGAAACTTTTCCCTTGCATTCTTTCTTTCCCACCGGAAGTACTTGAACAGATAATGTTACCACAAATAGATTAGGCGGTGGATACCTTCCTAACAGCAAAAGAATCCATCAAACAATTCATCACCAAAAACGACATTGCATAGAACTTCTTCCGTCAGGGTAGTAGAAATCTCGAAGGTACTCATTAAAAAACTAAAGGGTCATATGGGGCCTAAAAATTTTATATTTTTATATTGATATTGATGCTTTCTTAGAATTATCAATGTTCTGTCCATACATCCACAATTTTCAGCAAAGAACGAGACATGTGCAGTTAAATATAAAAATTAAATGTGATAACTACAAACTTACAACTGACAGTCTGTTGTCCAAGCTTTGCCATATCCCAAACCTACACGTACGGGTTAGAGATTACCAAATCAAGCTAAATAACCCTCTCAAAACCAAAAGGAAAGGTTAGAACTCTCTTCTATTGGAAGGTCAAAGAAAGAAAGTCCAGAGAAAACCTTCAGTGACGAGTCAGAAAACCCTCCAACAACCAACGAACCATCATGGGATATTGATGAGCAGCTTAAACTGTAACAGTTTACCAAGAAAATAAGCATTAAGCAATAGAGTTCAAAACATAATCAAATAACGCTGAATCTGCCAAGCATTAGAACATTACCCATTATGTGTATTGAGAAACGTGTAAAAGCTAACTGAAGGCAGTGCAACACTACTCAATTGTACGCGGTTCCTTAAATCTTCAAGGATAGACTGTTCTACCTCTGTTGGACTGCAACAATGCAAAATTGTATAATTTAATGGAAAGTAATTACAAGATTTACTAGTTTATAATTGAAAAATCAGACCTCCAGTTCATGTTGACACCTACATTTTTTGGGTACAAATGTTAACACCTTCACATAGCTAACATTTGACAGCATAATAACTACAAAATGTTTTAATAAAGTATAGAAAGAATTCATTGTTGGGTCTTATGAAACAGTGTTCATCTTATGTTTTGAAATAAAATCACTACTTGCGTTTTTTTCAGCAACTATTCCAACTGAAAAGGACAAAAAATACAGCCTTCTGCTTTGATGCAGAGCCTACATGTAAATCGAAAGAGGTTAAATGAAGAAGTGGACTTCAAGAGTTAATACATTATGGGCAAGGGAAGTTCTGGTTTAACACGTGGTGCTGCAGGTATAGTACTAGCATCAGGTTTTGCGCTTTTCCCAGATGCACTTCCACCCTTGTCCTTTTTTACTTTCTTGATTGAGGCACCTTGCTTTCCCCCTTCAATTGATCTTTTCTAGAATGCACACGTTAAAAAAACAAGAAGTTAAAATCATTCAAAAATAACTTGAGAAGATCAACCAAAATAAATTCATATTTAACTAAGGCAATAAAAGATGTATTCAACAAGAAACTCGTGCATCAGAAAGTGCAAGAATGCTGTTCAACATGCAATATCAGATTCCAGAGGACAGGCATGATGGTTAAACGTATTAAGGTTTAAAACCAAACGGTACCTTATTCTCTTCATTGTCACCTTCTTTGGCTTCCCCTTCCCCCTTTTCAGAATCGGAAAGCAAGGCACCAGCCTTCTCTAGGCGTTCTTCTAGAGAGTCTTCAAGCAACTGTGGCAGGATTACAATTTACAACCAATTAATTACCTAATAAGGCAGTAATAATCAAAACAGCCAACTCAACACAACCCCATACAAAAAATGACCGTACATTTGAGTTTAAACTGAACACTAAATCAGATATACACCAAGTTTTCACGGTTCAAGTTTTCTCTTGCTACTCTCTATACTGTGGCAAATTGTGGGTCATTGCACTAATAGCAGATTAGCAGAGCCAACCAAAGTAATAAAATGCAATATTTGCACCTATTTCTGGGATTTCAGCATGCATGACGTTAACCTTGTATCATTAGTTTAGCAATATGTAATTTTTCTTTTCAAAATATATACAGTTGCATGTTTTTTCACGACCAACAAACCGCAGTCATTTACTATATATACTGGGTTAATTTCTGGTGTCACTCCCAATTTACCCCATCCCCCTTATGAAGCAGAAGACTACACATGGTCTCCTATGTTAGTTTTTTCATTTCCACACCACAGAAACCAAGGGTTGGCCCAGTAGAGACTATGTCAGTTTACAATTAGAACTTGAACATTAATACCATGCATCATTCCAAGCACTATGATGGCACAATCATAACAACGAATGGCACCATGTATTAGAAGATAGAACAACTGATTTAGTGCTTCCTAAGTTAAAGTTTTCACAGAACAAATCATATTCTCATCCTATGGTTGTACACTGATATCCACACCACGGAACTAGATCCAGCAAAGATTAGATCAGATTATTATTGGAACTAAAATTCATTCGAGGCACTACAGAGGCAGTTGGGATCACATTAATAAAATTATCGTAAAAAGAATAATTTCCAACATTACATGGTCATGTTTTGTACACATAATAACTAACTAACCCCCCAATGTATTTCTTTTTGATTTATCTGATTTGCTGCGTCCTGGCTGCTTCCAGAGAGCGTAACAGCCTCTGGATCATCAGAAATTGAGCTAGGTTGCCCGGGAGTAACTGCAAATGCGGAGGGGAATGAGTAATACCAGCAATATTAACAAGTACCACTGAAAAGATAAACTTAACCTGAAGAGAAGTACCTTGGAAGTCAATGTGCTCATTAATTATACCAAGTACAGTGGTGGATTGCGTATCGCGGAGATGTTGCAACAGAAGCTGGTGGGAATACTGGCAAGACATTTACTCATATCATCTTTCCCAAGAATATAGCTCAACTTTTTAGTTAAAAAATGAAAGGACCATTCCTTATAATGGAAATAACAAAACAACATATACCTGTATTAAAGCAAACTTAGCAAAGGGAAATTAAAAAAAATGATTAATCAATTTCAGCAGATTCCAAGAGTTATTGTGGCATTGATGAATATCTTGTTATTCTGATTTTAAAAAAAAAAAAATTACGTTTTAATCTTCAAACAGTGTATGACTTTATGTCTTCAAGAAAACCTCATCCACAGAGGTGAGAGTAGAACACAACAATAACACAGCATAAAAATAATCATGTGGAAGTTAAATCCCAATTATTTTAGTCATAATGTTGGTCAAATTTCAATTAGAACATATCTGATAGACTGACCCAGAGGAGTCAAGAAATTACCTGACATATCTTTATGTTGAATTTGCTCTGTCTAAGTGAATGAGCGAATTCCATTTCCTAAGTAACAACATTGTCAGATTATCTAAAGCTAATGATCCAATAATAGAAGAAACCAAAAGTAGCAAATTTAAGGTGGCAACCAACCTGCAGATGAGAAGGAGAAAGCACACCTTCCAACTTCTGAAGGTCTCGTAAGTGCATCATCTCATGGTCTTCACGGAAGGTATTGAAAAAGTTCCGGGCTGAGGATATCAACCACAAGCATATAAACAAAAAGTAATATATGTTACATGGAGAGCTCATATTGGAAAATCTGCAATCTCTGTGACACAAAAAAAATTAGTGCATATGATAATTTATCTATACCTTCTTGGATATGCCCTTTTGCCACAAGATCCATAAAACAATGAATAAACACTGGATAAAGCACACGCAATAATTCATGCTGCAAGGACAAGGCAAAAAATGTAATGACAGCAGAAACTGAACATAGCAGTTTCAAAAGTTAAATTCAGATGAAAGAGTAATTAATAGGCGTTTTACCTTGTACAAATCCAATGAACTATATGCCCATGATCTGAGTCTGCTATACCCATCGTGAAATCTTGCAGGACCACTTTCTAACCTACAAATTAAAGGATATTCATTGAACCATATTAATGGCAACAATTTGAAAAATAATCTGACGGGTAGGATTCATTGTAGTTAGAATCTCACGATTCGAGACAAAATAGACAATAAAAGATACGAATCTACCATTGTATCTTTTTGTGACCTAAATTGTGCGATTCACACTAAAATTGTGCGATTCACACTAAAATTGTGCGATTCACACTAGAATTGTGCGATTCAGGTAGTGTTGAGTCGCGTTGAATCTGACTCAACATGTTAAAAAATCTTTTTCATGTTTTTTTCTGATTTTTTTTGTTATTTATAGGAGACAATTTATTGTATAAATACTCTCTAATGCACTTATAACTTTCAGCTTATCAAATATCAATCAAAACCCTAATTTTTTATTCCCTAATTGATTTTGGGACTATTTGTCATTGAAATTTGATATATATTGGCTTTTTTTTATTTTTGTGAGGTGTATAGAATCTAATATCTACAAACTTTTGATGTTTTCTTCTATAAAATTACCTATATGTCCCCTTTAATAATTGTTTATGAATCTTACGATTCATGATAAGTTTCGATTCAAGATTTAAAAAATAAGCTTTCCGATTCACAATTAGTATCCCGATTTGATAACCTTGGTAGGATTCACTCAATGGTATGGCCATGTCCCAATAATGCGCCAGCCTACCCTTTAGCACTTAGATAACTATGTTCAAGTTTGAAAATTATCTTCGTGCAATAGTTAACATGTCAGACACTAAATGTCAAGAACATTTATAATTACTGGCAATAAGAGCATGTCATCAGTGTGGAAATACAGAGGCCTGTTAGAATAGAAGTCCATTCGATCTACAGTCTTCCTTCAGCTAAATAATAACTTTGACTTTTTCTTTCTTTATCATAAATTGCTGGCAAACGAATATGTTATTTCCTTTTTCTATTTCTGCTTTCTCCCAAAAAAATGGATCCAAACTATATTTTTAAATTCACATTAGCATTGAAGTATAAGTCACTCAGATGGGCATGCAAATAGGTTCGGACATCTGATCCAACACAAACTAGTATTGTTGATCGAAAGCAGAGTGGGTTTAACATATAAATCCAATCCTCAAACTTTTGACTATCCAACTATCAAACAAATAGCGCCAGCAGTCTGGGAGGGCATCTCAATTATGCGAAAAGACAGAGTCAAAATAAAAATTCTCATATGCCTGCCCAAAATCGCATTCTTTGCAACTGAAGGATACTACTTCAAGGCCGTTAAGCATACATTCTAAAGGACTACAAGAGTGAAAATCTGAAAACCTTGAGTATGATGTACTACAAGAATTAGACAAATGGTATGAACTGTATGTTATCCATTGATCAGAACTCATCAAAGTAATGTTTGTCTCTAATACAAGTCAGTTATTGGTATCCTCCATCCGACTCGGTTTAAAGCGCTGGGGCAAGGCCCGTAAACTAATTCTTATCATCATACTAACAGTATGAATGCTTTCACTGGCTGTAACACACAGCTAATTTCACACTTGTACCCAAATCCCAGCAAGTTTCTTGGCTAGTAAACGCCGGGATGGAATATCAACGGCACATAAATTTTGCAAATCCAGTTCATCAAAAAAAAAAAAAAAAATTGCAATCCACGATAATGTAAAATTATTCAGTATGAACTAACGTCCTAACATGTCCTATCATAACATACCCAACCCCTAAGTAATACTGCTAACAAAACTAGTATTTGAACAAAAGTTGAAAACTGACTCAGCGGAACGCATGATGTTTGATTATTTATGATGAAGATGACCGAGATCATTTGTCAGATTTTATATACAAGTTTACTGTTTGAGCAGCATTACCCTACCAGAGTAGCAATTAAGAGTATACCAAATCATCTGCAAGGACACATTCCTCCAAGGCAAACCGTAAACGCATAAATTAGGGGCAGCAAAAAGATGAAATAAGATAAAACTGAAATGGGGCAAAAAGGGGGAAAATACGTGGAGAAGGCAAGAATTTGCTTGGCAATGTCGGGTTCGATAAGAGAATTAGCGGAGGAAGTGTTCTTATTCTGTTGAAGTTCCTCCTGAAAAGCATGCTCCGTTTGAGTAAACCCTTTCTTTCTCAGGTACGCAGTGACAAACCCCAGTATTTGATCTTCGTCCATTCGTCTCTCTTAGCCAATTTGCCAAACCCTCAATTTCGCACTCGTAGGGAAGAGCTTCCCTCTTGTACTGTTATGCTTTCGCTCCGGAGAAACTATTTAAGAGCCGTTTGATTGGACGAAAGCTTAGCTCAGGAAACGGAAAGCAGCCTCCTTTCTATCAGAAGACAAAGAACAGTGCAGCAGATGGGGAAGAACCGTTCCTTGGATCGCAGGAAAGCCGTTGAGGAGGGAGACCTGGCTGCAGTAAACGAGGGGAAGGTAAATTAACGACGAACAATCTTGTATTAAAACCCAACCCGGTTGGCAGTGGATTTCACAATTTTCACTCGATCATTTTGATCTGGGAAAAACAAAAGATAAAAAGACACTAAAATACCCTCAAAATTACTAAATGACAAATTAGGGTAGATAAATTTCAAAATCCCAATTCAGACCCCATGTACTACTTTGGAATTTTCAAATCTTGTAAAATGACAACATTGTCCTTACTGTCAGTGACTACTTCCATATAACTATTGACTACTTTGTTTTAATTATTGACAACTTTTGTTTTCAAAGTTCCAATGAATATTTTTATATAGCTATTGACTACACAAGAGTAGTAAATCGCATTACTGGAGTAGTAAATAGCTTAGCAAGAGTAGTCATCAGAATTTAAAAATAAATGTAGTCAATAGCTAAAAAAGAGTAGTTAATACATAAGCAAGAGTAGTCATCAGAATTTAAAAATAAATATAGTCAATAGCTAAAAAAGAGTAGTCAATATATAAGAAAGAGTAGTCACTAGAGCACCCCTGACCAGTCACCGGAGTTCCGGTAACGTGTCATCAAAGTTCAAAAATAAATGTAGTCAATAGCTAAAAAAGAGTAGTCAATATATAAGAAAGAGTAGTCATCGGAACTCTGACCGGTGACCAGTCGCCGGAGTTCCGGTGGTTGGTCTCCAGCGTTGGAGCTCCGGCGGCCGAAATTGCTGATGTGGCAGTATTTTAAAAAAATTAAAAAAAAAATAAAGGGCATTTGTGTAATTTTACAACATTTGAAAATTCCAAAATAGTGCCTGGGGTCTGAATTGAGATTTTAAAATTTACCTACCTTAATTTGTCATTTAGTAATTTTGAGGGTATTTTACTGTCTTTTTCCCAAAAAAAACAACAGAAAATAAAAATAAAAATTATAAATCCTAAATCAAGTTTGGCAACACAATTATATTTAGTATTAACAAGTCTGAATTTATAAATAATAACAAATTTTTGTTGACGTTCCTCATTTGGTATTTACAAAATTTCAGCTTCTTTTTTTGTCATCGTCCCTTTGAAAAACAAAAAAAAAATGGATAAAAATATCTATTCAAATTTAAAAAGACAAATAAGTAATGCAAATAAGTGAAAGGATTCAAGGGGCTTGAAATATGAATTTGGAATTTACAAAATTTAGTAGAAAGACTAAAATAACATTGAGAGATGAAAAGCATAAAAAAGTTTTGCTTTTAGGTACGATATTTGTAAAATAATTAACAACTTTCAAATTGAATTTGAATATTTTCATAATGAGTTTTGCAACCTATTATTAGTCATATACAAACTTAGTAAAATTCAAAATGATTGAATTGAATAAAATTACTAAATATGTGATGTGACTAACAACTTGGAAAATGAAATAGATTATTTCCATAACACATTTTGTAACCTGTTATTAGCTATTTCCAAATAATTTTACTAAATACATAATGTAATTGACAACTTGTAAAATGAATTTGACCATTTATATAACATGTTTTGTAGCATGTGATTAGCCATTTCAAAACAACTTTACTAAACATATAAAGTGATTGACACCTTGAGAAATGAATTCAACTATTTCTTTAATGTGTTTTGCAATATATTATTAGTCATTTCCATACTTTGTGCAATTTGAGGAGATTCGGTTAGACAAATTGACTAGACATATAATATGATTGATAATCTAAGAAATGGATTTGACCATTTCATACTATTGACAGTCAATTTTTACTAAGTATAACCTTTTAGGGGAATTAAATAATGAGATAAATATTTTTAAGAAATTAGTTGATAGTAGATGAATATATCTAAAGTACATCATAATAAACATGTTAATAATAACTTTCATGATTTGCTATATTTGTAATGGATTTGACTACTAAAGTGATGATATTTATCAAAAATTAGCAACCATATGACAACAACTACATTACATATATATTCAAATGAGGAATGAGGAAGTTCAGGTATAGATATGTGTTCTTCAAGTGGCATGAAAAAGCCAGAAGAATAGAGAAGTAACCCATTGTATAATTGAAGAATAGTAATATGAGGAACGTGAAGGTAATCAAAATAGGAAATTTAAACAATAGGTGAACCGAAGTTGGGAGTTCGGAGAGGGATGACTTGGAAGTGAGGAAAGGGTCTATAATTATTTTTGAAGAGAAGGACGTTGGGAACAATGTGAGGGAGAGAGAGGAGAACTCTTTGATTCTGACAAAAATGGAATAAGAAAAAGGAAATGTAAGTAAATTGTCAAAATTTACAAATCCCAAATTAATTCTTACAGACTTATTTGCCTCCTATGAAATTAGAATAACTAATATGAAATTTTAAAATTGAAATGGTATTTATACGAGATTTTTTCAAAAAAAACAATTGTTGAGAAATTTCTCATTGCAATATTTATCGCCTAAGGTACCTAAAGTTTTTTAGTTATGTGCCACGTATCTTTAACAATGTGTTAAAGATATATTTCATAAAATTAAAAAGAATTGCATGCAACCAAAATGCTCTCTTACAACCATTCAAGGAGTTGAGTTCTTGAACAAATTGTCTGGTCAAAAAACAAGTTCTTAAACAAATTTTAGTCATATTTTGGTAGTAACTGTTTCAAAGATTAAACTATGCTTAGTAACTTTATTTTATTAGATTATGTGTCATTTGTGGGATGATATTTCATTTACTTGTAAATTAATAATTTTTTATTTAAATATTACTCTTCTAAGTTATAAATATTTTTTAAATTTTAATTATATTATTATTACTACTACTACTATTACTATTATTATTAGTAGCAGTAGCAGTAATAGTAGTAGCAGTAGTGATAATAGTAGTGGTAATTGTAGTAGTAATAGCAGCAGCAATAATAACAATAGTAGCAATAGTCGTAGTATTAATAGTGGAGCTAATGGTGGTAGTAGCAGCAGCAATAGTAGCAATAGGATTAGTAGCAATGGTAGTAGCAACAGCAATAGCAGTTATAGGCAGTAGCAATAGTAGGTAATAGTGGCAGTAGCAGTAGTAATAGTAGCGCAATAATAGCAGCCGTAGTAACAGTAGTAGTAGTAGTAGTAGTAGGACGATCTCAATTTAACAATGATAAGACCATTAACCCTTAAATCAATATCTAAATTGGTTAAATAATTAAATTGGCTTTATCTTTTTATTTTCTTAATTATCAATTCCCCTAAATTTTGACTTGACAGTTAGAAGTTGAAACAAATCGCATAAATCTTCTTCTTCTTTTTTTACTGATGCATAAACTGGAAACAACTCAATACTTATTATTCTTGACTCATAACAATTCAGTATTTATAACTTGCTAATTTGAAGCAATTTAGCTGATATAATCTATTCACTCAAGTCATCAACCTATGTGCAAAAGTTTGAGATGAGGATGTCCTATCGGGAATCTACTCTAAATATACTTTTAAGTGTGACTCATGTCACTTCATGTCACGTGTCTACTTTAAGTTTGTTTTAAGTCAAAGAGTTCTAGTCTTGTTTTAATAATTAAATGCATCTTTACCTTTATATTATGTATCTGTCTGGAATCTTTGCTTTAGTGTTTGTAATAATAATTTTAGTTTGTTTGTCATATTGTAATCCAAGGATCTATGCAAATGGAGCTCTGCCAAGTGACGAGGCAGGAATGAATTGTATGAGCTTCCTTATATAATACAAGTGTACTCTCATGAATTCTCTCTAAGTTTCTTTCTTTTTCTGAAAACCTAACTTATAATATCTTTCTTCTATCATCAGATATCAGAGATTCTGAGTATGTTCTGTACTTGCTTTTTTAAGAGGATCATGTGCATCAGAAATAGAATCTAATAACAATCTGTGAAGGTGTGATCAATTATAACTATTTGAGTTTTCTTAGTTTTAGTATTCAAAAACAAGAGTCTTAATGTGGCCCTTTAGATGAGTTGATGTGTGTGGCCCTGCTTGGACTAAAGTTTTGAATATCAGAGTATGTTAACTTAGTTAGTTTTAGGTAACATGCTTGTAGTTTTAAAGGCAATGTTCAGAGGCTAAATAAAATTAAGGGTTAATATAATTTTGAGTATCTCAAATTTAGCTTCATTTTAGTTTTGGTCCCTCAAATTTCAAACTATAAGTTTTGGTCCCTCATAAGATAAAATGGTCCAGATTTTTATTAAATTATAAGGACCAATGTTTTAGATGAAAAGAAACTTAATGAACCAATACTTATGGTTTAAAACTTAAGGGAATAAAACTAAAATGAAGGCAAATTTAAATGATAAAAAATTGTGTTAACCGTAAAATTAAAGTTTAAAATCTAAAAGTTGCATTTTCTCTTATTATTTTTTCTAGTATGCACAAGTATCCCATTATTACAAGCAATTCTGTTCGAAACACTACCGAGCATTAAATGTAGATACCTCTCTTAATAATAATTGAAATCTTGGTTTCCCAAGATTATGAGTAACTAGTCACTTCCACTAAATTCAAGCCTAATTGGTTGCATTTTCTTTTATTATTGTTGTTGTTCTCATTCTATAAGCAAATTTTTTTGTACAAAAAGGTGTAGCTAAGTTGACTTTTCGAAGCTCATCAAGGTCAAGACCTTTAGGTTTTGAGAACAATTATAGAGATACTTATATATTGTCTACCAACAAAGCCCTCACAATGACAACAAGATTCAAGCTTATGACTGTGCGGATTATAAGTCGACTCCTTATTAATTGGATCAACTTTTATTGGTCTTCTATGAGCAAATTTACCTCGTTGGGCACTTGTTTTTTTTTTTTTTTTGGTTTAAATTGAAAGGGCGCATTTGTTTCTGTTAATGCAATAACGAATTTGCTGGATAAAATCTCACTCAAAAAAAAAAAAAGAAACGAACTTAATGGGTAAAATAAGGTCGAAATAAAGGCCATGCCTTTTTGTTTTGGGCCGAGGCCTCAAGTTGTTGGGCATTGACCCAATTAATACTTTTGCT